CTGGGATTAAAGGCGTGCGCCTCCACCGCCCAGCTGGTTTTTGCTATACGTAATCCAGTAAGATACACAGACTATGGGGATAAGTCTTAAAAGCAAATGACTATCTCAAAGTGATTAGAGTATGTGAGTATGGTGGCGTATGGCTTCAATCCTGACCCTGCATTCTGTGCCTCACGAGTTTCCTTGGTTTTCGTCTGTGTTTGCATATGGGATCTCTCCCATGTCAGGTCATGTGTCAGCCCGTTCAGAATTGAAGCTTTCTATAATTTCTAGGAAAGGCGTTCACTGAGTGTTCAGCTCTGAGTCATCTAGAGCATCCCCTCTAAGGCTTGGGAGGCAGAGGCAGGTGGAGCTTTCTGAGCTCAAGGCCAGTCTGGTCTACATTGTTAGTTCCAGGATAGCCAAGGCTACATAGAGAGACTCTACTTCAAACAAAACAACAACAAAAGAATGCTTAGAGTAGCTATACAGAGGAAACGTTTTCATAAAGTTTTGAATTGATATATCCTGTCCATTAGTTTTCACTGTGCTGTTTTATCCTTCACACTTATATAAATAGAAGTCATGTACTTTAACCCTTGGTTGTTTCAGTCTGTCCAGTGGCTGCAGCGTGGTGAACCAGGCTCTTCTGTTACTCATACTCTGTGCATCTCAGTTAGTCCCCTGCTCAACCTCAGTCTCTTGCCTTTGTGTGCAACAGGTATAAATCTGCTTAGCGTGTTTCAGACAAGGACTATAACCACCATCCATGCAAATCATTATTTGTAACATAGTTCTGAAAAAGTGTAGGAAATTAAGATGAAATGCTGAAAATTGCTCTAAATATTATTAGCATTTATTAGTTTTTTATATAAAATAATGGGTTTTTGAAATGACATGTCAGGCATGTATATAATAAAATGCATCCTTCATTACCATATACTAACTCCCTCTCCCACTGTTCCCTTGCCTCCTCTTCAAGTCCTCTTTATCTTTCCATGTCTCTCTGTGGTTTTCTTTCTTTCCCTTAGTTATTATTGTTACATGTACACAAACATATATAAATACTACTTGATGAGACCAGTTAGTCTTGATTGTATGTCTGTTTTTAGAACTGACCAATTGGTATAACCAATATGGGACCCATATTGGGGGAAGATCAATTCCTCCTCTCTCTGCAGCCATTAATTGCCTGTAGCTCTTTATTTAGGAGTGGGACCTTGTGAGAATTTGCTCGTTCATATTGGCAGGTCAACTCATGTTCAAGTCTTCTCTGGGTTATATTATTGTTGAGATTTCACGGATGCAGCTGCTACCCGGACCTGTATAAAAGACATTATTTTGCAGCAGAAGTAGTCTGGGTCAAAGATGAAATCAAGGAAGAATTAACAAAATTTTGAAAGTAGAAATTAGTCAACTCCAAAGTCAGTGAGTTTGGTAAGATATTGTTGATGTGCTGTTATGGAAATAAAGAAACCACTGAAAACTAGACTGGTTTGGGGTCAAGTATTTTTGTCTTAATGAGCCTCAAGTTTTTTCTTTTTTCTTTTTGGTTCACTGACTACTTAGTGAACTTGTAAGTTTATACCCAGTAGCAATGTGTGTTAGTTACAACCTTATGGCAGAGCACCTGGAAAGGGTGGTTATTCTTGTAGTTTCACTGTTGAGTCTCTCAGAGGAGAAGTGAAATTCTGCAGTCTGAGTCTCATGAGTTTCCTTGGTTTTCGTCTGTGTTTGTATGTGGAATCTCTCCCATGTCAGGTCATGTGTTAGCCCGTTCAGAATTGAAGCTTTTATAATTTCCAGGAAAGACATCCACTGAGTGTTCAGCTCTGAGTCATCTAGAACATCCCCTCTAAGGCTTAGGGAGAGGAGGAGATAAAGAATGGATGAGCCAGATAGTGAGAAAGGCTACAGAATACTGTCTGCTGAGCATAATACAACCATTGCAAGCACGACTCACAGCAGCCGTGGATGCCTGAATGGGGGTGCATTATTCTGGGCTTATCTGTTAACAGTTTATCATGGATTAGGGAGAGACCCACTGGAAAATATCATGCCCTGATAAATTTCTTGTTACTAGTGGATTCTTGGGGAAAGGGTACTTGCCTTACGAGCTCCAGTGGTAGGATTGAGTACCTGTATCCATCATTGCAATGAACTGAACTGTAAGACCCAGCCTATGGTAAAATTGAATTACCCGAAAGGCAACTATCATTCAGATGTTTTCCTTTTGTGATTTGGTGACATGACCTAGGGCCTTGTACAAACTATGAACATGTTCTGTGATTGGGCCGTGTTTCTAGTATTAATTCATCATCTAGAGTAATAAGGTTAACAATTAAAATCAGAAATAGAAATATGCTGAGGCAGAAAACCATAATAATAGAGTAAAAAAACCGCTGAAGTACACACACACACACACACACACACACACACACACACGTAACTGAAAGACATTATGAATTTTTCATTGAGAGCTTTAAAAGACATGGTTAGGGTTGACGAGATGGCTAAGTAGCACTGATCCTGAGGACCTGTGTCAGAGCCTCTGGACTTGCATGATGGTAGAATAAACTTCTTCAGGTTGTCCTTTGACCTTCTACCTCTATCTGTCCAGTTACATGCCCCAATAAATGTAATAAAATTTAAAAACAGTTATAAGAGGCAAATACTCACTTCAGTGTTACCGTTTGTTGAGTGACTACCAGAATGCCAGAGTTAGTTGAGAGTTCTTAGACCTTTCGAAGCTATGCTTAAGGACTTTCATGCCACTGTAGTACAAGGCAGGATTCGTGCAAAAAGAGTGCTGAAGTTGGAGCTGTGATAGTACAGAGCTCACATATCCTTTTTATTTGACTGATGTATTTGAGAGTGCTCAGTGTCCTGGCTGGAAACTAAACACCACTTATGTGGTATAGTTCCAGAGAGAGGTGAGGTGCTGATACCCTGGTGGACTTCTCCTTTACCCAGTTAAAATGTCATCATGTGATGATAAAATGTTCTCCATCTGGTCACCCACTGTCAACATCTTAATAGCCATCGTGTACTGACATAGCAAGTGAAGTTTGGCATATGGGTGGTGTTGCCATGGCGATGGTCATCCAAACTCACGACGGATGCATCCTTCTGTGTGATCTCTTACATGTCTTCTCCTAAAATTTGGATACCTGCTCTGCTCTTATGGGGCCTAATTTACGTATTTTATGCCTTAGTGTTGCTCAACGGTTGGCATTAGTGTGTTTCAATGAACATTTCATATTTAAATGGGATTTTATATGCCAATCTAGGAATTTAATGATCAATTATAAACTTGTTTCCCTGCTAAAATATATTTAAGTCCAAATCAAATAAAGTAAAAAGTTTGAGGAAATGACCCTTGTAAAGAAGGAAATTGTTTCAATTTGTACCTGTAACCTTACATCAGTATATAATAAAGTATTTTAGTGTGTCTTTGGAATGAAAACTGTAGCTTAATTTTAATAATAAAGTAAAAAAATTGGGGCAGCTAAAACTGAGCAGTCTAACATATATGAAAGTTTTTATATGTGCTGTTGAATTAATTAAAAATAAAGCAATTTCAATATAGTCATTTGATTTCAAAATGTATGGCAAGAGTTTTACATTTTCAATTGTATTTCATAATAATGTTTTTCTCACCTTATAATTAACATGAAGTTTTATTTCTGTAAATGTATGTTTCACCTGCTCTAGGTTTGTGCAGAGTGGTGGAGACAGCTGACTTAAAATTTATAACGTTTCAAGTAATCTACAAATTAGTTGGTCCAAACACAGATAATTAAGTGCAGATGCTTAGATGCTAGTATTGGTCAAGTTGTGATTGGCTGTAGACAAATGTGGAGAGAAGTGCAGAGTTACAGTGACCTGTTTAGCTAAATATAAACCTCTCCTGGAGAGGCTTTGTGACTTTAAGGTCCTCCAATGGTGGGGCATAGGAAGATAATTTCCTCATTAGTTGTGCCATACTGATACATGAGGGAAAATCATGTGGACATTTCTCTCCCTGTCTTTCCTCACTCATTTGAGTGGATAACCAAGTGGCCTCTAAACATAAGGTCTGTTTCTTTCTTTCTTACCTCCATGACCCCCCACCCTGCAAACCTGGTTGAGAGGACAGCCAACTTGCTAGAAGAGTCTATTCCTAAGCTCTGCCTTCCTCAACTAGGACCAGAGCTAATTCAGTGAGTCTTTACAACTCGGTCTTGGGATGCTCAACTCTGTGGAAAGGGCCCAGGAAACAGTCAAAGAAGCACTATCTGCTTTCGGATAGCTTTAAGAGAAGTACAGCAACTTCAATAATTACCAACAACTAATTGTTTTCTATAAAGCAAGCTATGAATCATTTTGTTTAGTTCACTCAGAGGTTTATAAGGTAAGCCTCGGAATTAAGCCCACTTTTTCCAAATAGGAAAATCTGCAGATTTTCTAAGTTTTAAGCTTGTTCTTCAAGCTTATACAAGTAGTAAGAGAGACCTGAAAGTCACACAAAGATTGTCAACATGAGTATGTCAGTTATTGTGCTAGTACTTGCTACGTTTTGGTAATGGTTGTGCATTCTTGCCATTATTTGGGTGACCAACATACTCAGTCTTGCCAATTAGTTACATGTGAATTAAAAACAAGTTATTCAATGATTGCCCTTTGCTAGGTTCTCTCACCTACCCCCCTTCCCTGGCTTCATCCCCCCTCCCTCCCTTTCCCCACCTTCCCTCTGTTACATATTTCTCTTAGATTAGAAGCAAAGGCCATGATTGGCTCCACTAGGATGGAGCAGGGAAGCCATACTGCTGATGCCTGGTTGCATGGTCTACATTTTTTCACCCCAGCTGCCAGAATAACACTGGTTAGAGAGCTCCAAGGATACCAGAGAGGACTAACCAGAAGTCTTGTCACAGATCACTGTATTGTGTGTCTGAATGTACAAGTCTGTTTTTTTCTATTATTATGTGATATTTCATGTTGACTTGTCAAACTGAAAAATGCCCATATTGATTTTGCAGAAAGCCTCACGTGTGAACTAAATGCACTCAGAGACGCTTCCCGAGTAGCACTTTGGAGCTTCAGATGTGAAATGGATCATTCCTCGATCTGTAATAGACCCTTCTGTGAAGCTCTTCAATCAAACCCGAGAAGTCAAGGTGAAGCTGGAGGGGAGACTGGGGTGCTCTGTAGGGTGATGTGAGTGAACTAGCTGGCCGAGAGAGGAATCTAGGGTGTTTGCCATGTGCTCCCCCCTCCTTTATCATAGGAAAACTGTCAATCACTGTGTGACCTTATGTGCTCTATGTGCTTGGTACCTGGATACATAACAAGGTGTGTGTGTGTGTGTGTGTGTGTGTGTGTGTAGGTCTTGTGCACCTTTGATTTCTTTCCATTTATCATTTTTCTGATAAGATTATTTTCAGGTTAGTTTTGATGTTTGCATTTGACATAGATTTGTAATAGGTACTGCATCCACTGAATAAATAGCTCTACTGTCACAATGCTGAACTGACACGTGTCTCTCTTATAAAAAGCAAAAATAAACCTTTTTGAAAGTTAGTAACAGCAAACAGAACTGGCATAGTTTGTTAGCAATGATCCAGGTAGATACATTTTTTTTTTTTAAATCTAGCATCAGAAAGGACTCTGATTAGTTCACTTTGAATAAAGCAGTAAGATGAAGCTATTCTTAGTAAGGGAAACATCATTCTTCTGAAATCAGCTTTTTATATTACATTTTAAATATTTTTAAATTAATTTTTATTGAAGCACACATGTGTGTGCATCTGTGTTGTGTGTATATCACGTGTATGTGGCTAGAAGAGGCTGTTGGAGCCCATGGAGCTGGGGTTAGCAGCCTGTCATGTTGCTGAGACTTGAACTTGGGTCTTGTGGGAGAGCAGCCAGTGCTCTGCATCAATGAATCATCATCTCTCTGGCCCCCAACATTTTACATTTATTTGGTACCACATTTCTAGCTGGAAGATTTGGAGTTAACTTAAAAACAAAACAAAACAAAACAAAACAAAAAAACAAACAAAAACAAACAAACAAACAAAAACCCAAACCAAAATCAAAACAAACTAAAACCAAACCTCCAGAATTTTTAGTGGTCTATTTAACCTGAAGGAATAGAGAGAATCCTGACGCCAAAGTAACGAAACTGTGCTTTGGAATTTCTGCTCAGGTACGGAGTGTGTTTGCCAATAGTTTCTGATGGTTAAGCTGCTACGAAAATGATTGTTATCCCCAGAACTATGTCGTAGCTTTCCTAAGCCACAGAGACAGAGTTGTTTGTAAAGCTCCACTATTAGTGTAATCTTAAGAGCGTATTAATTGCCCAGGAGGTTCACTTATTTGTTCTGTACATGTGATTAAAGATCACAGCAGCTTATGCAGCACCGTTGTAGAGAGGGAGAAAATGACTACTGTAACGCTCGCCACTCTCAAGTTTCCTCTACTGCAATGCCCTTACACCTTTCCTTCCCGGGCGTTTTGTAGCATCCTAAACAGAAGGATATTGCAGGGAGCTGATTCTGCTTTGATCCTTGTGCTTGTTGTCGAAGCGCTTGGGATTGAAGAGACTGTTGGCTACAATTGACTGTGACAATTAGGAGATGATCAGAGCCCTAGAGTGGAGCACTTAAAGGGTAATTTACATGTCAGTTTGTCGAATAAAAAAAAAAGATATTCAGCTAAGATTTTTCTCCCCCCTCAGAGCCTTGTAAACTGCAATTTGTACGCTGGTAAGAAAAACCTGGCAGAGGAGTTAGGATGCCATTACCATTTGAAAAGAGGCAATCATAAGGCGCTTCTGAGCCCTTTGTCCACTGAAAATGCTGATTTGCAGGCGGTGAGTGAAAAAGTGGAACCGCCATTGAATAAAACCTTGAGCTAGGTAACTACCCTCTACCCCAACACTTGGTGGCTTTTTAGCATCCGTTAAAGGTGCTCTTTAAAAAATTGTATCTAAAATCCTACATTTTCCTATCATCACAACATTGTTATTGAGCGCGCATGTTTCCTTTCCACCCCCCAGAAGAATCAAAAGAGATACTGAGAGGTAAGTGGGACGCAAGCCAAGCCGGTGGCAATCAGACCAAAGTTGCTCCACATTTCCCTGTATGATCATAGCTTCCCGCTAGCCATTTGTTCAACCTGCTGTTTCCCCTGCACGGCATCAGTGTGCTCTTAGATTCTTCTGTTTATTTATTTATTTATTTATTTATTTATTTATTTATTTATTTATTTCTCAGGCTTAAGAATGAGAACCATTCTTCCAGTGTCCTTGCAACCAGCCTAACCGTCCCTATGGCCCATCCCAGTCTATTGGCACATCTGTGTGTACAACTAAAAGTTGAGTAACCAGAAAGTTCACCAGCAAAACCACGCTGTACTTACGGGTACATCGTCCTATGTGGAAAAATGTAAATCTGGTGCATGTGTTTAATAAAAAAATATGTGTTAACTTGCAATTGCTGGTATGTCTTCCAATCCAGGATTTGTATTCTGGGCCGGATGAAGGACATTTTAAGAAAAAATAACACATCTGGTTATAGATGCAGTTGTTTTCATGTATAATATCAAAGAGTACTCCCAGCTTTCAAAAGCCAGTTTCTGACCCTGAAGAGGAATCTGCCCATGACAACTCCACACCCTATTTACTGACATGGATCTGGGTTTTAAAACATCCCTTTCTTTAAAGAATTTACCACCTTATGCTTTGGAATGTGTGGGCTTTTATTTTTCCATGTTTGAATCCCCAAACTTTTTTTCAAAATAGGGTCGATTAAAGGAGTCACATCTTACTCTTGGGAGTTTCTGAAAAATCACAACGAGTGTGGAGATTGGCTGAGGAAAGTTCCTGGGCATGTACCCCTGCCTCTAGGACCACGTTATGAGAAGACCTGCTTCTTGCAAAACATTTTAAACTGTTGGGCTTTCCTAGCATACATGTGAACTTTGTAAACAATATGGCCCAAACAAGAATACATAAAGATGAACAAATGTGTCAGTTATTAGGTGTATAGAAGACAATGAGAAAGAGTCAGAGAAGGTCTGGGCTTCCTTATGTGCAGGAGGAGAGAGCCGTGCGGAATCTGTATCAAGAGTCACGCACAGCGGGAGGCGTTCACCTCCCAGGTAATGGGCAAATGATGAGCAGATGAGCCACCCTCATATTGATTTAAGCATTTTGTTCCAGCCAGTCACAATTAACTTTGATTTGTTTTTACTTTCCTCTTATGGGTTTGCATTTAAAATGCTCTCAGAGCACTAATTGTATAAAATTCTAGTAACCGTGCGTTCGCAATTCAGAGGAGTAGCAAGTGAATGAGTGGAAAGGGAGGGTTACTCAGCACCCTGTGGCCTAGACTGTGAAGACATTCCTACTTGTCTGAGACCTGTTTGGAAGGTGAACTGCAGTACGAATCTCACAGCTACAGGAGGGATGCCGCATGTGCCTCTTGGATGCTCCCTTTCTTCAGGGGACTCCGAAGAGCTGCTCTGTGACTCAGCAGCTGATTCTCACTTCACTTACAAGAGAATATTTAGGTGAATAATATGAAAACATTTCCAAGTATGCTTATTTGACACTTAAGTAAATGGGAACCCCTTGAAAGCTCATTTGGAAATATTTGAAATGACGTTTTCCTTTCACTTTTATACTATACAAATTGCCATGTTGTGACAAAATAAATTATTGGAATGCTTTGGAAAGTTTGTAGAAACCTGCCTAAGGAAACAATGTGTACATTTTTATGGTTAATTCACATGTCAGTTTTCTGAAATTTTGCCCCTAGTGAAAAGGCCTAGGACTTTTGGCAGAATATTTACTCTCTTGTTTTAGAGAGCAACTCTTTCTCTCTGTGTTTTGAGAGCTACACTTGGGTTGCCAGATATGATGGAAAATAAAATAATATGAATAGCATGTCACTGACTTGTACTTCCTATAGTTAACAAATGATATTTTTGTATGAGCGTGTCTCAAGTACATGCTAACTTTTAAAATCTGTTAACCATAGGTGGCACTCTGATTGGATAGAAATTCTAGCCAGAGTTGAATGTATAACAACTCTTTATAAATATATTTGTAGATGAGTTTGCTTTTTATTATCAGATTAAATAAACCAACAAGCTTGCTTTCAACTAGAAACCAGAATCTGAGACACCTCAGTATTGATCTTAATTTCACCCATCAGGGTTTACCTGGTCGGGTTGGGGGTTGCTATTTCTCGTACACAATGATGTACCCATAATCTTTACTAATGGAGAGATCTGAGGTGCTGGCTGAGCACCGTGACTGACCTATGTGGTCGTCAGGCTTTGACTGGAGTCATTGGCTTCAGGGTAGAGAACGGAATGACGCTATAGGCATGTACTAGACTTGTGAGCCCTGGTTTCCCAGTGTGGCAGGTCAGACGCTATGTATTGTAGCCAAATTTGAAACCCGTGTGATTCTGAATCTGGCAAGTTCTTCTGGGTAGGGAGAGAACCTGTCTCCTGGCATTTTATTTTGCTTACAATAGTCCAATGCACTTGTCAGGCCAGTGTGTCACAATTTATGAAGAACCAAGCTGATTTGTCCTTTTGGGTCAGTATTCATTTTTGCTGTCCTCATCTTCTTGGAGTTTTCCATAGTCTTACAGAACGATCAAGTAAGTTTAGAGCTCATGCCCCCTCCTCTGACTGCATTGCTCCACCAGACATTTTCCTAGGAAGCCCAGGCTGGAGCTGGGCCTTCTAGTCCCTGGAGAACTCTTTGAATCTCTGTTTTTCTGCCCGATAGCCTTCTCCAAGCAGCAGAAGTTTGCTCAACACTCCCCCAGCCATGGAAATGTGGAAGGAGTGAAATTCTCAACATGAACAGCGTGCAGCCACAGAGTGATAGGCGTCTGTGGATAATTATTCCAGCCAGGTGTCCTTTGCACAGGCAGTTCTGAGAGGCACCCACATGCTTCTTAGAGGTCCTGTTTTTACCAGATGGGATTCTATGAATCCTTTTGTACTTTTCCCCCTTATTCCTATTTCTGGGCATAACAAACATGCTGCCAACCCTGGGTCTTGCTTAGGCTTTGCTTTCAGGAACACTCCTTTTCCACCGGCAGGCACTAAACATTCTCCTCACTCCAGCTAGGTAATGGTTCTTTGGTCACCTAAGTGTTTACTTCCTATTGGAAGAGGAGAGAGCTACAGCTTGGCATATTACTAAACCTAAGCCACATGGGTTAAAAAGATAATCATACACCATCTCTCCTGAACTCTCTTTTGTCAAGAAAACCAACTATTGGATGCAACTACATTCGAGGGCGTAGACTTAAGTGTGGAGAATGGATAAAATTCCAAATAAATGTGTATTGATTGAAATGGGCATAGTCTTATCAAGGACCTAAGCCTTACACCCACGAGAGTTACTAAGCCTTCTCCCATGAGGTTCAAAGGTGAATCAAAGCCTGCCTCGGGTCTGAGTGTGAGTGTTGACAGTGTATGTACAAACTATCATCCCCAGCTTCCTCCTCCAAGGTGACAACAACCTGAGGCTGCTTCCTGCAGAGATCTCCTATCAAGGCTAGCTATACCTGTCTCCTTGTTCATTCATAAACCCATCTCACTATTCACTGTCTATACTAAACCGATCTCCTCGATACAGATGAGGGTCCAGGTTGCTGTTGAACTTGGTGCCCTCCATCAGAGCCAGTGCAACCTACCTGACCCAGTTTTTCTGAAGACGTGTTTTTGTATCTGTCCTTTCTTCATTTCTTCATTGCCCCCATTAGGTGTATCACTGCAGTTCTGTAGAGTACATCATTGAGGAGCACCTGTGCATTGCTCCGCATAGTACTTGGGATGCTACCAGAAAAAAAGAAATTAGCAACTTATCTGGCAGATGAAGTAACAGATCCAGGGAGAATGTGCTTTTTTGTTTTCAAGACTGAAAAGCTAGTCCTATTTCCTACATCATAGTCTACAAATATAAAAAAAAATAGAAAAACAAACACTACAATATATAATGTATTTATAAAAAATAAAAATTTAAAACCATGTGTATATAATATGTCTACGTAACAAAATCTAGAAGTACAGACTTAAAATGAAATTAAAAATTCTTCATGAAATGTCAGTAGAAATAACCAACAAGGTAACTGGGCAGGGGGGAAAGACAAGGGATCGGCTTTCATCAAATAAGACAAATATTTTCCTTAAAAGATCTTCATGTCAATACATAATTAAATAACAGTGTAAAGTATTTGTTCCAGCATAAGAGCTAAAGCTCCGAAAATCTATGCTTCCCCCACTCCCCTGCCACAGTACCTTTCTACATTACTATACTTCAGAAACATTCATGGAATTAAGTAATTGCAGATTGTGGAATATTGACCTCAATAAAATCAAATTTTTAGTGATCCATACTTCACTCCAAAATGGTTCGAGGCACATTTCAAGATGACTTATTATCTGAAAAACTTAAAATCTTAATAGTGCTTTATATAACTTAAGATATAGTACTCGGAATGCTAGGTTTTCAAATATGGTAATTTTTGTTAATTTAAAACTACAGGAGACAAAGGACAGTAGAAAGATTCCATCCAATGCTATTTCAATCAGCAGGAAGTGGGATGTGCTGAAGTCTATTGCCGTCAACATGAGTTTTTCAGGGAAAGAAAGAGGACCTGAACTTTCAAGGCCTATTTTCCTCTCAGGAAAGTGGAGCAGACCCTGTCCCATCTTTACTATTTAGCTTAGAGGGGACTGAGAACCTATGACAATTCTTCTCAGACTCTCTCATCTTGAAAAAATTAACGCATTTAAAAAATATTACAATTTTGAACTGTTTAGGAACTGTCTTCAGCCTTGTCTTGGGATTGATTTTTATAAATCTAGTATTTTCACCCCATGTGTTTTCTGAAGTTGAGCTAGAGGTTCATTCATACAAGTCTTTCCTGACTTAATATTGGTAGAACTTACATTTTGTACATATTACCATTGCCATCAGGGCAGCAACTATATTTTCTATAACCTTCATGGCGTTGTTGGTTTTGAACGATACATAAAGATGAACAGTTGTAATTACTCTTGGAGTTTCTATTGGATTCCTCATAGCAACTACAGTAACTGGAGTTCCTCAAGAGTTAAAGAAGCCACATTTGCCTTATTCCATCACAACTGGGAAAAAAAAAAAACAGTCAAAATTAACAAACCCAGACTGGATCTTTCATGGCCACCAATGGGAGCTATGTGCTAAGCAAACAGGAGCTTGCAGTGCTGGAAGCCTAAAAAGAAACATCTCATGATTTTTCATATTGCATATCTGACAGTGGGTTCAATACAAACTAAAAGACCTTTATAATGTGTACAAATAATTAAAGTCCTTCTCACATGATTTTCTTTTGTGCATTTTCAGTATACAAGAGCCAGACGTCTTTGCCTATAGATTAAGTTATTCAATTGGCTGAAGATGAATGAAAACTTTAAAATG